ACATATACATATATATATATTATATACATATACATATACATATATATATATTATATACATATACATATACATATACATATATATATATATATATATATATATATATATATATATATATATATATATATATATATATATATATATATATATATATATATATATATATATATATATAGTAGTGGTAGAGGTGTAGAGTAGCAGTTGAGGTGGTGGCGGTGGTAGCAAGCCAATAGTATTTGTGATATATAATGGTTGTTTTAATATTGATAATATTAATATTAATAATATTACTCTAAAAAATAAAATTTGCAGGATAGTACAATAATATATGCAGCAGTAGCAGTTGAAGTAGTGTGGCAGTGGTGGCGATGGTGGCGGTGGTAGCAAGCCAATAGTATTTGTGATATATAATGGTTGTTTTAATATTAATAATATTACTCTAAAAAATAAAATTTGCAGGATAGTACAATAATATATGCAGCAGTAGCAGTTGAGGTAGTATGGCGGTGGTGGCGGTGGTAGCAAGCCAATAGTATTTGTGATATATAATAGTTGTTTTAATATTAATAATATTACTCTAAAAAATAAAATTTGCAGGATAGTACAATAATATATGCAGCTGTAGCAGTTGAGGTAGTGTGGCAGTTGTGGCGGCGATGGTGGTGGTGGTAGCACTTGTGGTAGTGTGGTGAAGGCTGTCAATAATATTGGTTATATACATGCAGGGTGTATCAAAAAAAGGTAATCGAACTTCAGCGCGCTATTGTTTCTGAATGACACTGCGTATGAACGGGATTTGTTTTTAGTATTTGGAAATATCAGGCTTTTAGCTGTTGAATGATATGTTCTTCATATCAAATTGATAAGAAAAATGAGCAAGTGCAAATCCAATAAAAATGTTAGTCAGAATCGCATATTTTCTCCTTCGAGAGTTGTATCTAAAACCATTGAAAATTAACCCCCTTTAATCTAAGTTGATGCAACGACAAGTTCATGATTAATTGCTTTTTCTTTTGTTATGTGATTATGTACTGCTTTAATTAGGCACAGAGGTGAAAATATGCGATTCTGACTAACATTTTTTTATTGGGCTGGTATTTGTGATGTTACTCTGAGTGTATATCCACAACGGGCAAGCTTGAAAAATATGCCTGGCCACGGTACGTGGGAATCGAACATACGATTCGATTCCCACAGTGGCCAAGGCATGTTTTTCGAGCTTGCCCGGTGTGCAGATATACACTCAGAGTAACATCACAAACATCATATTCACCTGTGTACATACTACACCAACACAGAAACAAATCAGGACTGGTATTTGTTTATTTTATCTCCACTTGGCATGAAAAACATGTTATTCAATAGCTAAAAGCCTGATCTTTCCGAATATAAAATATTTACATTAGTACAATAGTAGTGCAATGTTATGGTGTTGATGGTGGCAAGAAAATGAAACAGGTGTTATTTTAAAAGTTGGATTATTAATACTCGATCTTTTAAATAGCACTAGCATTATTGCTTGCCACCACCAATACCATAACACTACTATAAATTTAATAACTAGTAGTCCTACTTTAATCAGACAAAACATTTCTAAATACCTACAGGTATATTAGTAATTAGTATAATTATATAAATAGTGGTACTGACTAGCGATAGTGACATTAACAAGGTTCAAGATTGTTCAAAATATACAGTGCATTTATTATATTCATGTTTTTTTCTACAATTATTGACATTAACAATAACAGCCGGAAGATATTCATGATTCACAGTTATTACATAACCACTTGGCAGGAACATCCTTTTTCTTCATTTTCAAGCACAGCCTATACAAATAATCAAATTAGTCCAGGGTCAAGACAAGGAAGTTGCATAGTGTATTATAAAGGGAGTATAAAGTTTGTATATTTTCCTTTTGTGAACAGTCGGTTGAGTTAATTACTGGTAAATAATTTTCCACGCCAGGGTACTGGCAACCATAACTAACGTTTGAAAATGAATTATTCAAAATTTTGATTTCTGCCCACCTTATTGTACTTTAGTTAGTTTAGTAAATCACATGGAAAAGTTGGCCTAGCTAAGTGCCTATAACATGTAACCCGCGACTGAGGGGGGACACATTCTGCGACTGTGTGTTCATGCATGGTTCAAGCTTAGTACTTCTAAGTATTTTTATTAACTATGGTTCAAGAGGGTCCTGAAGCATGGTTATAGATAGAAAAAATGAAAATATGAGATCATCGCACCGGCAATTGGGCAGAATGCAGTCCAGGCTTTTAACTCTGAAATGCAATAGTGTATCAGTTTTCCCATTCCCATTTTTGTGTTTGTCATTCCAAGTAAACAAAATCCCACTCTCTCAGCCCAAAAAATATACAGTTCCCATTTACCCTTTATGACCCTCTTGCATGTATTGTTGGTAGTCTTAATTTAACTTACAAGTGAAACCAATTTTTGCACGAATCGCAATCAATCCAATTTATCATCAGGCCACCTTTCCTGCTGGGTGGACTGTCTTGACCACAACGAAGGCATTGTTCGTCACTTGTATTCCTTTCTGCAGTAACTTTTAAAAGTAAGAGACCAGTCATTAATAATGGGAGGGGGGGCGGTGGGTAATAAATACTAAATATTGACATTTTTTAGAGCCTCCCCCGATCGCAAGACCTTTATTTTCAAGACGCCCCTACCATAATCTAGAAATTTTGTCCCCCCTCTCCTAACATTTAATTCGTTACATTTTTGGTGTAAAATAGGTAACGGAACACGTACTGGTGTAACACATTGTGTAGCCTAAATAATTAGAGGACCAGTATTCAAAATGGTTGTTATTTACTCCGACTCCTATGGTGAACTGCATATACGTAATAAACTACGGAAACTACGATTATATAGGAACTAAAGAAGGTGAAATATTTTGTGGGATACGATTGAAAATGAGTAGGAAAGTATTAAAAAATTGTCACATATTTTTCAGTTTGAGGCCGGACCCAATTCAGGGAAACATAGTTTAAGCCGCCCCCTTTTCACACATACCAAATCGTTTTGGGCGCGGCAAAACGCCTAAACTGGCCTAAAGAAAAATACTTACTTGCCACATTATTCACCACCCCTATTGTTCCTGCAGCAAACTCAAGACGTCGTCTAGGACGTTTGGCATCTAAAGTTATACACATATTATACATAAGTTTAGATATGAAAATATACTTTCATTCACTACGGAAGAACATCTGTGTACTGGAAATTCATTTTCAGATCGTACGCGTAGGGGAGGGGGAGCAAGTGTTGGGGAATAACCCCTTCAGTAAATCCGTGAAATTTTAGGCAAGCTTTATAGCTAGTGAGCCACTGATCTCATATGTAGTGAGCCCGCTAAAAAGTGCCCATGCTTAAGGCGGTTAAACATAATAGATTTTACGTAAACATAAATTAAGCTATTTTATGATATTTCATAAAATAGCTTAATATATATGTTTACGTAAAATCTATTATGATTAACCTTAAGTATGGGCACTTTTCAGCGGGCTCACCACTACATATGAGATAATCAAGGTCCGGTTTGGAACATCATAAGGACCAGGGATTCTCGGCTGCTTTAGGCCCTGGGAAGGAGGATGGGTTTGGGATCTTTGAACCAGAACTCACTTTGTCTCGTGTCTGAACTTGATGCCACTGGAGTTTTACTTCTACAATTAACTATATATAAAGGGAAAAAGGAAGGTGAGAAATTATAATGAAAATTATCATGAAAAATTTAAATCTTATATTTACCGTTAACATCGCGTTCTTTTTCAACCAGTTGTCTTGCTTTTGAAATCTTTATTCCATCTAAGATACCCTGAATTAACAAAGTATTAAGGTAAAGATATGAAAACATTCTTACACTCCTATTCAAAGTATAGGGACAATAAAAGGCATGATACTTTATTCATTAAATTGACACAGGCAAAACATTGAAAGAAAAAATAATAGCTAAAATAATCGTTAACTGAAAATAACCTGTTCGTAATTCCGTTTTCCCTTTGGCGAACGAAGATCATACGCGAATTTAGTATTAGGTGAAAGTTCCTGTAAATAATGTAAAAGTTGTCAGTATACAATATGTCGGCGAAATAGGTCAATCATTACATACATCAACTGGCGCGTCCTCCACATATCCACTGTAACTGGGGCAAGGTTCATAATCTAAAAAAAAAAGTGCTCACGTATAATTCACTATGTATAATTCATCATACATGCACCACCCATTGTATTTTTGCGGAAAACTAACCTGTATCAATATTTTCGATTAACGTTACCAGATCATTAATCTTTTCATCGACAGCCGCAAGATGCTCTGCCTGATCGTCATGCGCGCTTGCAGTCGGTGGAGCGTCTTCCCTTAGTCCACATGCTGTAAAACATCATTAAGAGTGGAAAATTAATTCAAATGTATTGAAAATATGTACATTTCAATAGAAAGAGTCCTAAAATATAGCGCCTTTAGCGGTTTCGTGAAGACGAGAAAACGGTTACTGCACATATTGTAAATTAACGAGTCAGTACCACATATAAAAACTATATCATTTAAACACTTACAATTATATATTATATACTTACCATGCTCTATAAAATGACACAGGTCCGTCCCCAGTAGATCTTTTGGGATCTTGTAGGCTTTCGCGTTTCGCACAATTCCACTCGTTCTCCTTCTGACGTCGGCGAGACTTGCCATTTCGTTCAGTGCAAATGCCACCGTTTCACCAACATTTTTTTCCTTTTGTAGTGCATGTGCGATATTATTTTTTATTTTCCTGGAAAAATACATTTTTTAATAAGATCTTTGCACAATAAGTCATCTATCTATATATGCAATTAAGTCGTATAGAAAAAGGGCAGTAAATTGCTGAATTGATGTGAAGTATTGTGTCAAAATCACTTACTTTGTTTCCAATACTTGTAAATTGTGCCGTCTCACTAATTTTGACGGCAATAGCTGGGACAGAAGCCTGAGCCATGTAAACAGTCGCACATGGATTTAACCATGTGAGCGGCTATAAAACAAAGTTAATTAAATATTATAAAATGGTAAAATATAAAAGGTTTTAGAAGGCTTGGATTTCGAAACAAATTTAATTACTGTGCTGGGTGTCCCAAAAAAATGCTCATTAAATTATGGGATCACTTCCTTGTGTTTTTAGACCGGTTGAAAAGCTATAACTTATGATGATCAGAATAACCATTGGCGATTCCATTTGCGAGTTGTCCAAATTGTAGAAGTTAGGCTAAGTAATGAACTGAAATCCCTAATCTCGTTAGACAGGGTATGCCCTTCACAGGTTGGAAATTTAAATTTGATACTTCTAAGGAAGTTAGGTTAAAAGTATCTCAAAACCGTTAGATGTGATGTAGATTGGAATTAAGGTACAATACACGCCACTGTAAACTATTTCTCACATCTCTAACAAGCACCCTCTGTGAACCAAGCTAAGACAAACTTATACATGGATTATAAACATATGTGTATTTTAATATATGAATTTACCGGTTTTTCTTCGTCCTGCAGATTGGACTTTATAGCGCATCGTAGACGCTCCCAAAACGTCTGTTTCTTTTGAGCGCCACGGGGCTTCCCACTGTTTACTATGTTCTCGAGTAACCTTTTTTACATCTGCCTGAACTCCAGCAACTTTGTGAAACTACAAGTCATAGATTGCATTACATAAAACATTTTACAATTAGCAATTAACAAACACTTGCCGAATCTTTTTGTTAAATTTATGTATACATTGCACGTAAATCGACTCATATATGAAAACTGTCTCAGGGTATAGCCGTTTTCGGTTGTATACCTAATACAACACAGCCACTCGTAACCTTTAATCTTTTAATCTTTAATCAAGTACTCCTCAAACAGTTTACACAATACCAGGAGATAACCGATCATTGTGAAAATACATTACCCATGCGTTCAAACATGTGAATATAAGAAAACAACGAAGATTATTTTGGGATTACAAGGATTGAATAAATGTTGAAGAGTTTTATAGATGGAAACTTCGAGTGTTAATTGTGTATACATAATACATTTATATAGCCTATACATTAAATTTATAAAATTGACACTCGAAATTTCCATCTACAAAACCCTTCAAAGTTACTTACAACAGCATACGTGTACAAAACGCTCGCTGCACCTTTATGCCATCTGTCTTGGCCCTGCTCTGTCACCAATAGTTTTAGTATCTCTCGGATCTTATTGATTGCCTCGTTGTTATTGTTGAGCCACAATCGTTCAAACCTTATAGCCCATGCTACCAGGAAACCCTAAAACAGAAGCAACAAATTTACCATTAGGCTACCTATTGAAACAATACATCTCTGAAATCGTCTGTTTGTAAACAGCTTATAATTAAACATTTTTTACTCCCATTAAATGTACTGTACCTTGTTTCCATTTACAAGATTTTGCAAGTCTTCATTGAGACATTTCTCGTTTTCAAATGTGAAATCCGAATCTTTGATGTACTCCATTCGTAAACATCGTCCGTATATCCTTTAAATATTAAAAGTAAAAACAGTCTTATTTTCAGAGATCGACATGATACCTACATATCTACCGCATTTAATAACGGATAATATTTCTAGTATATATATACCTTTCACTTTCTTGAACATTTGTACTCATTAACAGGGCACCACGTGGAACTGCTAATCCAGTTTTTGTAGATCCCTGAGGTAATCCCCCATGCACTTGCAGCAGAAATTCTGAGAATGTCGTGTTAATGGTCGGATCATCAACTAGGCAGACCAGACTCGTGCTGGTAAGCGCCGACATTAACATCTTGCTAAAATTTCAAGAGAAAACAACTAGTTTGCCATAAACATTTTAGCACATAAATTGTGGAAGGGTTTTGTAGATGGAAATTTCGAGTGTAAATGTTATACATGCATTACACTCAATTAGCCTTTCTCACGCCGCCATTTTTGGGCGATAAGTCCACATAACAGCGACTTTTTATAATTTTTTGGACGAATGATGGTAAATTTGCTTTTTAAATGGTTATAGTTTATTTTGAAAAATTGCTTTTCACATTGTTTTAATTGTCTGCATTGGATAATGAAAATTTGATGCCACCCAAAAATGGCGGATATTCGTCATCGTGAGAAAGGCTAATTAGACTAAAAATGCAATTATAGACCCTCTGGCCAACCACTACCGAGTCCAGTTCAGAACCCTACCTCAAGTTCATGTACACATTTTAAGTTGATGTAAGGTGTATTAGGGTTCTGAATATCAGAATTTGGGCATCTCACACTTTACATGGGCATCACCTTATAGTACATATACATACACTTGATGTTAGTGCTCGACAACTTCTCTCTGTATAGTGCACCGGAATCGCAAGGCTGCTGGTTCGATTCCTACCGGAGACGTATATATAGTTGCATTTTTCGCAACTGCTCCTGGCTAGATGTCATACATTCTAATGTCGGAATGTATAAAAATTGCATTGGAAATTTGCCTCTCCAAAACCTTCTTATATATCATATTTATAGACCATACATTATATATGATATTTAGAACATGATAATTCTATTTTTACTGAATGAGATTGACGTGATTCTAACAAATACTAAAGCATTTTAAGGTCGTGTAAATAATAGGAAACAAACTTTCATTTCATATAATCGCAATTTCATGTTAGTGCTAACTGAAATAAAATAACATCTCATTACTTCAAGTGAAAATATTTAATTTCAATAACTAAGCAAGATATCAATAATCGGTAAAAGAAGTTAATATGTATAGTTTTAAAATTTCTTTCAATTAAAAAAAAAGAAAATAAGAATTTATATTGCCATTCCTTTAAGTAGAAAAATGGCCGTAAACAGAGAAACTTCAAACTCTTTTCAATATTGTACTGGTGCATGAATGTAGGAACAACGTGGAAATATTAAAAATACATATAGTTATTAACATACAGTGAAACACCACTGAGAGTCTGGTCACCACCGGAACAAAGAAGAGGATGTGCAGCTTTATCAGTTCCTTGCGCCTTTGAAAGTGTTTGTAACGTCAAGGATTTCCCAACGTTTCGCTCGGGGGAATACAACATACCAATTAGATTCTCGTCTAGAAAATATATCAATGTCAAAACCAACTTTATATATGTCTATAAATATCAAATTACCACTCCAATGCAAGGCTCTAACAATTGATCAAAGTCCAACTGCATGCAAATTATTAAAATGGTCCTGGAGACAATATACGACTTGCATGTTAGACTATAAATTTTAATCTAAGTAAAGAGAGGGGAATCAAACACCACACTAAAAAGAACATAATGAAAGCTTGGAAAATATAGCCTTGCAAAGTTTGCAAATTTTGTATATGTTTCTATTACGTGCGGAAATTATTACCATTTTCGGCTTAAAAATGGTAAGTTACAAAATATGGGAACTTCGCAAGGCTGCATTTTCCGTATTTTACAACATTTCGTAACCAAATTTTGCAATTTTACTTATTTTAATACGTTCTTTACGGGAATTTACTTTTTTTGCCAATAGTTAAAAAATTAGTCTAACATGCAAGTTATCTATTATTACTCACCTTTTGCTTGGTTTCCACTTTGACTATTGCGAATCCTCTGGGCATTTTTTATTATTGCGTTCAGCACAAAAGCGGTAGCAAGTTTAAAGGGAACCGCATTTGCGCCAAAATTTGAAGATAGATGGATGTAACTAGAAATGAAAAGTAGCGATTATTAACTTTCCATGATTAGAGTTTAGGAAAAAATGAAAATATTTATTATTATTAACATGCAGCGGAAGTGTACGACATTGTCATACGATCGCAAATAATTATAGTGAACCTCGTCGTCGTAATACGAGCAACAAAATTGCTGCAACTTGCAACAAAATCTGATTTCAACGCATGTTGAGTAGAAATGTTGACACATGTTGCCTCGTGATTTGTAATGTATGTGTAAACATTTTCATTTAACATGCGTAGAAATCAGATTTTGTTGCAAGTTGCAGCAATTTTGTTGCCAGTATTACTCCACCTTTACTCTATAAGTTAATTAACAACTATACTTATATTGATGAGAGTGCTCGAGACCAGCAATAGCTGAATCAGGAAAAATCAGACGTGAAACCAACGAAAACGTGATTAGACTTGTTATACAGGGTGTATCAAAAAAAGCGCAATCCTCGACTGAAATGTAAATTGCTAAACAAATAATAGACGAAAACGTTAAAGTTTACATTCATTTTAAAGCGTAGCCATTCAGCTTTCTAACAGTGGGTTGTTTCTTAAATTTTCTCATGAAAATAACTGATTTTTTCATTAAAACAAAAAAATGTTGCATTTTATTAAATGGATTGTAACAATAAGTATAATTACGGCTTTTCTTCCACTATTTTTAACTCAGTTTGAAACTTCAAATGCGATATAATTTTGGCTTGGACCATCTAAGCTGACTGACATCAACTTGCTATAATTTCTGTTTACATTACATCGCAATTCGATGACACTCTGGCTCAGACACCAGAATGTTTTGACGATTTTTAGCATTCGTTTAGGATTTTCAAACAACCTGGTCTCTTTTAAAATACTTTTAATTCGTTCTTACGTGGTTTTCGAGATGTAGTGACGACAACATTAAAGTTTAAAGAAGAAAATTCTAACATTTAAACCGACTAAACAATAACATAGTAAACTTGCATAATTAAACAGCAACTAAAAATTATAGGTTTTACTAAATCTTTTCCTGTGCAATTATTACCAGCATTGGAGACAAGGATAATAGTTTGTTTGAAAGAGAAAAGAACAGGCTTTGAAGTAAGCCTAAAAGCGTTTAACTAGAAATAGTATTTCGAAAGTTATTAAGCACAAAAGATGAATTGCGTTTATTTTGATACACCCTGTATATACTCTTTGCTAAAACTGTAACATACCAGTCTTCATATCTTATTAGAGCGTGTAAAACGTGGAACATTTTCAATAGTGACCTCCGTAATAGAGATACTGGTCTGCATGCTTTCAAATCTGGACTAAAGATGTATTATAAAAACGCACTATCCAATATTAATCCACGAACTTGGAAATCTAAAAGGGCTAGGTCCCTTGATGGTGTTTTCTTGCACCGCTTGTAATTTGTCTTATATTAGTTTGTCTCGACTGTTAAAATTATTGTAAATGTTAAGTTAATTCGAGATTCCCCTTGTTACGTTTTCGTAGCGCTTTGCATTGTGGTTATAGTGGTATCACTGATAAAGATAGTGGCCTCGAATGAAAATAGTGAATGTTTTCGCGAATATTTTGCTGTTGGCTATCGCGCACCTGACCTTAGCTTTTTTTAAAAGTTCTTGCACAGGTCAGGACAAAAAATAAGCCATCTTGAATATCAGTGATACCACTATAACTACAATGCAAAGCGCTACGAAAACGTAATAAGGGGAATCGTCAATTATGGGGTCGCCGTAATTGGGGAAACCTGTGGCGAACGCCATGGCGCTATATTAGCCGAATCTCATTAAATCATACGTCCACCAATGCATGTTTAGTCCTTGAGCTATTGAACTAGGTTTAGTCCTTGAGCTATTGATTAAATTAGTTTTTCAATATTTACAGAAGTTTAAAATTACATTACAATTTATAATTCTATATTACAGAAGTTTAAAGTTACATTACAAATTAGCTATGAAACTAGTAAATTTCTAAAAAAAAGTTAGCCAGTCTAAAACTGAATATCAGAATCGATTGTCAGTTAATATTATTGATATGCCTTGCAGAAGAAGGGAAAAAACTGTTTCTAAATCTGTTCGTTTTGGTCTGAGGAACAACAAAAGACCTTGAGTGTCTAAGGTCGTAATTTGGAAAGTATCTAGATGGTACATGATTAGGCATATTAGCTACTGGTGTTGTGGTGATTTCATTAAACAGTTTCTCGCATGCATCCACACGCCTGTCACTTAATGGTTTGATGCCCGATTTTTGTAAACAATCCGCATAACCTGTCAGTGGATAGATGATTGATAAAACACGCTTTTGACCCCGTTCCAGGGCATTAGATAAGTAGGAAGGAAGGGCGAAGTGGAAAACTTGACAGCTGAATTCCATGACTGGTCTGACGCAGGTAGTGTAAAAATTTATTATGTCAGCTTCAGGTACATGAGCACGTTTCAACTGAATAATAAAATAAATCCGTTTGTTCGCCTTCTTAACTATGTTAGTTATGTGTTGGTTCCATTTTAGATCTTTAGAAATTGTCAAACCTAGGATTCTTGCGTGGTTCACTGTCTCGATTTGGCCCGAGATGATCTTAAGGCGCGGAAATTCTTTCTCAGGTTTTGTAAAACTGATAACAAGTTCCTTGCACTTGGAGGCATTTAATTGCATCTTGTTTTCTACAGACCAATTTTGAACACAATCGACTGTATCTTGAATTTTACTGGGTGTGTTGATGTAAATGATTTCAGATACCGTAGCATCATCGATGTATTTCCATCGCTCATGATGTGGGGGGCGTAGGTCATTTATCATTAGGATGAATAACCAAGGTCCCAATTTGGTTCCTTGAGGGACACCGGAAGGAATGTCAATCCATTCAGACATACAGTCTCTTGCAAGTTTCACCTTTTATATAAAGTATAGTGCTTTATGTACTATTTAAAACACGAGTAGGAGTGTTTTATCAGATATATAACGCGAGGCGCAGCCGAGCGTTATATATCTCATAAAACACGACAACGAGTGTTTTGAATAGCTTAAAATACGACTACAAAAGAATACTAATTAGGATGAACCATAGTATAATCATGCTAATTAAGATGAACAATTATATAATGCCACATGTGTTTTATCAGATGTAAAGTCACTCCATGCACGTGACATATTATGGCTGACATGATTTGCCACAAGGTTTATGAATTATTAATGAGTATTTTAAAGAGATTTCGAGCACTGATAAAACTGATAATTCCACATGTGAGATTATTTATGATAATTGCACATGTGAAAATTGTCGCTTTTCTGTAAAAATTATCGGTTTTCAAAGACAGATCCAGCTAGGGCCTCTTTTAAGGATGTGTAACTGGGGGGTGATATATTTCGCGGGGGACCTGAAGAAGTTCCAGTCGGCAAGTCTGTATCACTGCAGCTACCAGCATATATATGTATGGTAACTAATAAGTATACGTCATAGGGCGGCAGATCAGGCCCGTTACTAGGATTCTGAGACAACCGAGTCGAGTACCGAAGGTGCGAGCCGTCTGGAGGGGTCTGGGGGCATCCCCCCAGAAAATTTTGGATTTCCTGAATTTCAGATTAGCTATTTCCAGCATTTTGAGGAGTGTTCCAACAAGAAATTAACCCTATAATCAGTGACACAATTGCTGCAATTTTACAGTCTCCCAAATGTAATCCAGTTCCAATACCAATAAGGCAACATGATGTGATGATGCGGTAATGAAAATGTGCATGGTATAGTATTATCATTCACCACACTTCAAATTCTACAGTACTGTATTACATGTATTGGGGGTACTTGGCATCGACACATTTGTCTTCAGTCTTCTCAGTGTCACTGAAGAGCAAGATAGGGTGGTCTCTTTGGAGTATCTTTGCTTGGAAAAACTAAACTTGACTAGAATTTCGTCCTAAAATGCCATTTCATGCCTTTTTCCACGAGCAAATTATTTCAGCCATGGTTTAGGTTTCTGGCGATGTTTAAATTTCAGTTCCCAAATTCCTACCGAGTCAACTGACTCGGTTAACTCCGCTAGTGACGGGTCTGCAGATGATGGTTAAGTTCAGAAATGTTAACAACTTAACATCATTTTTTCACTTTGATATATATTTGCTGGTTGACCACCTACTACAGGTAGTTCTTATATAGGGACCTTGCACTGGGAGGGACAAAATTGCCGACTGGAGGGGCCAGGGGGCATCCTCCCAGTCTATATGTTAAAAGAGGCCCGGGACAGTCCTTTATATAATAAACAGAAAAATACATGGATACTTGGAAATACCATATTTATTTCTCGTGTTGAACATGATATCTCACTCGTTCGCTGCTCTCACTCTTGAGATATCATGTTCAATACTCGAAACTATAAATTTGGTATTTCCGCGCACCCATGTATTATTCTCTATTTATATTACGCGATTTACTCGATTTACGCATTACTGAAAATGAATGATACATGCGTTTTTCCTGCTACGTTTACGTACGGAAAAAACCGCTTGACTGAAAATCAGCCTTTACAATAATGTTGTGTTGCGCTTATGTCATAGTGGTAAATTAGACAAACAACTTTTTCGTGGTTGTTCGCAACATTGAACTGAGGATGAATTTTGACTTGTTGACGTTCGACACTCTCTACCACATCAGTGCAAGTTGTGTATCAGTACGGCTCGGGGCGAATGGTAGGAGGTGGTGGGACATAGGTGGAACTTCTAGTTGTGAACTTTGATTAATTAATTTTGTAATATTTCAGTCAATGGTCTCAATCGCCATGTACACGATTGTAGCTTATTCTCACTGGGAGTTTTCTCTCACAATACCATATAATTTGAATATTTATGCATGAGATGATTAGTTGGTCATCCATATACACCACGTGATTGCCAGACAATATAAAAGTAGCACAAAATTGGTATTTTTTTAGCATTTGCCACCGAAAAGGAAGGACGACGCTGGAATGTTTTTGGGACTCACCCACCTCCCCTCGGCTGCGAAACTTCCGGCGCTAGCTTCGCCGCACTCTACCTTTGGCTGAAAATTATTTACCCCCCATCTTAATATTCTGGCCTTCAGTTAAAGGTATTGTGCGGGGGGAAGCGAGCAGTGAGAATGTATAACGGTTTCTCCCCACGAGCTCGACTGCGAAGGCAGTGCACAGAATAGAAAATATACCTGTAGTTTTCTATTCTGTGCCGTGGGGCTTAGGCCTACAACAAGATGGCGGACAGTCAGACTTTTATTACTTTACATTCCTAGCGCTTTTGTGTATGTTTCACTGTTTATTTACCGTCTATTAAATCGTAACATAAGTGTAGTTAAAAACAGTCAAGTATGGTCGACAGTTTAGTGAATGTGTGCGTGGCTAATACAGACCAAGCTAATACAGACCAAGCTAATAACTCGGCAAAACTTTTCCTCACACACCCTACTCTGCTTTGAAAATCATATAGGCAAGCTTTCAAGTTTTAAAAAACTGAGACACTGTATAGGAGCTCAAAACACTTTCAGACCTAATATGTTCCACCTTGCGCGGTCCCTGAAAATCTATGGGGTGGTAGATTTGAGGAGATTGATTGTTGGGGGTCTTCAACAGTCATAATTCACTATTGGCTTTGGGATAGCAGGAGCTGCAGGACTGTAAATATTAGGTTAGGTTTAGGATCAGCGTAAGGGCACAGAGTATATACCTATACAGAGTTATAACTAGTGTACCCACGTTTTTGTGCGCATTCTCGGCAAGTTACTAGATGCATGCATAATAATAATAATATTTAATATTTATATTGCGCAAATTAACATGTTATAGTATATGATCATATCCCATTGGATGGCGGCTCGCTTTAAATTTATCTACTCACGGAACTTGCCGACCACGCGCAGTGGATCATTTTTTGCCCAGTCGCCTGAACAAAGTGGGTACATGAAAACGTAAGTTTCTGCAGTGTTTACGACGGCCAGTTACAGCTCTGTATGTATCTACTCTGTGGTAAGGGGTATGATAAGAATGTGTAAATATTGAGATTGCGCACGGGATTAGGGGTAGGATATGGGTTAGGATTAGGGTTAAGTTTAAAACACTAATTTTTACCCAAATTATCCATAAATACCCTAAGTTTTGCGTAAAATTCAAGCTTTGCGTAAAAAAGCCAAAGCTGCTGTTTACTTTAACCAGTATGAATATGTTTACGTTTTTTAAAACTGCTTTTTTACGGCATTGAGGATTCAACGTCAAGAAGAATGAATTTGAAGATGTATTAATGCCAAATAAATCCTGTTAAGCAGTCAAAATGACATCTTATAGCCCGACAAAGACAGAAATACAAAGATAGCGATGCACAGGAACAATTGTAGGTAAATATGCAGAGTAAAAGACCAGACACAGTACTAAATACGGTGTTTTACAAATAAAACTTTCCGGCGTTTCCGCCTACAAGCTGTGCTACAAGATAGAGGTCTAAATATATTTTATGGTACGCTTTCCGTACATTTGGTTAAAACGTTGCTTTAAAACCTTCAAGATAAACTATTGTCGGATCAAATATCAAATATCAAGATGAAGAGAAAAGTGAGACGAATCCACGGCCGAAAAAGAGAAAATCAACGACACGAAAGTTATCAAGGATCAAACGTACTGCATTTTTAATTAGTTAAATAATTTTGAGCGATTTGTCAATTGTCAACAATACAATTTCGCTTGACTTTCAAAGGCCATAAATCGCTAGAATACAGCTGTTTAATGAATTTGGCATCCGTAAGTACAATTTCGTACGCTGATTCGAACGATGGTATTCTTGTCCTTCTTGGGTCACTTGGGTGCATAAAATCAGAGATGGTCGGTCCTGAGAGTCCAAGACACTGATCTCGGTGGTCCGAGATTAATAATTTTAAGGAAGGTGCATTTGTTTCCGAACAAACACCTCCCCCCAAAAAACCTGGTATAGCGGTGCTAAACTTGGCAGGGACACCGCAATTTTGCAACAGGGAACAGGTTCTATAGCCCCAGCGAGTTAACGCTCTTTCGAGTGTCTTGTTTCTTAAATATTGGCTGAGAAAAAGCAAGACGGTCGACATTATCAATTGTACGAACAACTTTCTTTTGTAAAAGGATCAACCTATTTAAATTTGTTACATACGTTGATCCCCATAGGCCCATACTATGTTACAATAATGCAAGTATGGATAAACCAATGCATATAGTAAAGTTGTAGCAATCATCTTTTTGGCATATAAAACTTACATTTATATATTATACCAGCTGACTTAGCAATTTTAGTTGCCAGATGGCTAATATGAGCTTTCCAAGATAAATGCTGATCAAAAACTACTCCCAAGAATGACGTCTGGGTTACCTCTTCCATCTGAGTACTGCCAATATTAGGTGGATCACGTTTTTCTTTTGAGGTGTTTTAAAAACCATAAAATTGGTCTTATCAATATTCAAAGAAAGTTTATTAGCTCTGAACCACAAAGAAATTTTATTTAATTCAGAGTTAGTCATATCTGTCAATTTCTTTTGGTCTTTATCACAAATTAAGATATTACTATCATCAGCAAACAAGAATAACCTTGAAATATTAATCTATTTTAAGTGCAATCCTGCTTCACGAAGCCTACTTAATAAAAGAGTTTTGGGAAGAGTACGAGTCCGTAGGCCCGGAAACGAGCTAGGAACTCAAAGGGACTGGGTGGGCGGGTGAAACGTAGTCTCTAAACAATGTTCGACTCAAAACTAAAATAAACAAACCGCCCCACCCAACTTGTGAACATTCACTGAGTCCTGCACAACCGCTTCTCAAACGCCAAACTGTGATAATATATTCACTCTCCTTACTTTAATACTCTTCGTTACGCATGATTGCACTTAAAATATTAGTTATTCTATAAAAATCACTGATGTAAAGCAAAAAGAACAAAGGTCCTAAAACTGATCCCTGTGGGACACCACACACTACAGGGTGTCCCAAAAAAACCCACGAAAACTATTGAAATCACTTATTGTTAAAATTTGAATGCCCTACCAAAAATCTGAACGCGTAATGATGCGTAACATATTGACAAGGTGCATGCATTAAAATTTAGTTAAGAACATCTCCTTGTAAAGTGCGCGATTTTCTGCTCTTGGGGAATTTAAAGCAGCTTCTTAAATAGTTTCTTTATGCTTAAAATTTACTTATGTCAATCATTTATGCACTCGTGTGAACGAACAAAGTGCTAAGGCATTCAAATTCTAAAAATTAAACTGTTATTGGTGATTTCAATAGTTTTCGGGTTTTTTGGGACACCCTGTATATCATAGAGAGATGAAGAACAATTGTTGTAGTGAACAAATTGTTTTTTCTATTATGAAAGTAATTTTTAACCCAATTCAAAGCAATTCCACGGATACCATAATGACATAATTTATCAAACAGAATATTGTGATCTACCGTATCAAATGCTGGTATGGTATGGTAAACCTTTATTTAAAAACGCTAGCTTCGATCAACGTGAGCTGCTTTTCACAAGGGGCGTCACACAACAACTATTTACAAATTAAAGAATATACACATTAAACTATATACAAGTTAAACTATATAGAAAAACAAGGAAGCAAAGGATAATAGAAAAGGAATTATATACTTAATGCGATCCAAAGGAGGTATTCATGCCTGACGTATTTTTCTTTTAAAAGAAGAAAGGGTTTAGGCTTAGGTAAGCAATGGTCTGTATCGCTACTACCCAATCATAATTAGACTGAATTGTGTTTCTTTTGCAGAAACACTCGTTTAGAACTTTAGATTAGGGGCGGCGTGGTTATTAAGTATTTTGTACATCATTATTAATTTATTTTCTAAACGTTTCACATCAAGTGTTTGCCAACCGAGAGCATCCAAAACATCAGTAGACCTAATATCATAACTGGCTCCAGTAATCACTCTAGCTGCACGGGATTGAAATTTGTGTAGTTTATCTTGAAGTGTTTTCCCACAGGTATCCCGCAGGGGGGAACAATAATCAAAGTATAGGGTTGAATTAATGCTTTGTAAATTGTTTGCAGAGTTGCAGGTGGGACAAAGGCTTTATACGTTTCTTCAAACACTCATTAATAATTCATAAGCTTATTGGCAAATCATGTCAACCATAATATGTCACGTGCAGTGGCTTTAAACCTGATAAAACACTCCTAATTAGTATTCTTTATATAAAGAATACTAATAAGGCAGTATCTATTGTAGTGTTGTCCTCATTAGTATTCTTTATATAAAGAATACTAATAGGCAGCATATCTATTGAATTTGTAGTCGTGTTTGAAGCCGTTTAATAAACTCGCAGGCCGTGTTTTATTACACTGACCTGAAAGGTCAAGTGTCTTAAATCCCTAGTTTTCTGTTTTCTGTTTTTTTCGTCGTCGAGAAATCGAGTTTGCGTTCGCGCATCGCAGGCTCAATCCAAAATGCCATCGATTCTTGAACTCCACGATTCATATATAATAGTAAGAAGCTGGTATTTATGTACGTAATAGTCGGCTCATCTCATGCTTGTGGTGCATTTTTCGTTTATTAGCCCATATATAGACCTATATGGCATGAGATATCATGGCGGCCAGACGTGTTATGGTGAGCTCTGATATTATTCCACCATTATTTGATAAATCTCGTAAAGAAATAGTTAATTCATCAACTATCGGTATTGATTTTCTTGGTAATGCTTTAAGCAACGATCTTATTTACGAGGGCACACGTTTGAAATGGTGCAATGACTTAGATTCTCTTAAGGCGTTTGTTGCCGAAGTGCTTGACCTAAACGGGAAATGGTGTTCTCCTGGAGGTGGGTCTAAAAGGTTCACAAGCTCCAATGCTGAACTAACTTTGACGTGGTATTCAGGCAAGCAAAACACTTTATTATTTCAAGGCAAAGATGGCAACCTAATTCGGGATGGATGTGTCAAATTCTGTCAGACACGGGACGGTGTTATGAAGTCGAGTTGTAAACAAGTGCAAGCCCTGTCGAAAAATTCAGAGTTACAGCGGGATCTCATTGCTCCAAATATTTTGGAATCTGAGCCTACATCTATATCGAGACCGGCCAACCAAGTTGATGTTGCATCACAGGTATGTCTAGACATTATAGGAGATAATTCCAACTATTTGTCCAACTGTCGCTATTCGTGTGGCGTTCTAGCTGCTGACGTTGAGGGAGTTAAATTAGATATTACTATCCTATCTAACAGAATCGATTCGATTGCAAATGCTAATACTGAATATTCTCACAAAGATAAAGAAATTGATCGTCTTCGAAGTGAACTATCGATTGAGAAGGCGAGATCTGAAAAGCTTGAATCTGAGTTGAGTTTGTTTGTGAAAGAACGATCCCTTGAAATTGAAAAGTTGAATCAGACTATTGTTTCCCTAGAGAATAAAATAATTGAGCATGATAAATCTAATGCCTCCCTAAAATTATTCATTGACATTGATCAGCAGAGAATTTCCAAACCTCAAATCCCTGAGCAAAGTAATTACAAACAAAGTGCATCTCCATTTGCTGCTCCAATGAATAATAACAATAGTAAGATTAATAAAAACACACTTATGAACAAAAACAACAGAAATGGTCACCGAAACAATGGTCATCATAACAACAGTGGGTTAAATCAATGCAAATCTCAAAACGTCAGTTTACAACCTTTCATCTCTGTTCCTGTAAATAATGGGGACCCTGAAAGTGTGCCGTTTTACGATACTAATAGGGACTTACAAAACAAGGCACTACAAATCAATCAAATTGCAAATATGCCCGAAAAGCAACCAATATCGGATTGGATTGGTTCCCTACCGTTAATAGAGATACCTATCCAAGCGAAAAATAATCAACATATTAATAGAAATACCTCGAACAAGCTTCCTTTTCCCAAGCGCCATCGAACGAAACCACCATCCTATCGAACGGGCCATCGCCACCAATCCCTCGAATGGCTGAGCCATTTGGACATTGTATACCAACTGTGCAAGAGGTAGGAAACGTGACGACTATGTCTATTCCTACACGAATTACTGCACGCAAATCCCAACCATTTTTTACAACTTACCAAAATCACCATAGACCTTGTGGCTCTGACATACGAAATCTGAAAAATATTGTCGTGCACAAACCTAATGCCTGTATTACAAAGTCTGTAATGTCTTCAACATCAACTTTAAAAATAGGAAACAATTTTCAAAATACTAGGCTCAAAATCGCTCATCTAAATATCCGCTCACTTAAAAGCAATACACATCTTACCCAACTCAGAGATTTGGCGCGTAGAGAAAATTTTGACATTTTAACAATATCTGAAACATGGCTAAACACCAGTGTTTCGTCTGCCGAAGTAAGGATAGACGGATATAATCTTTTCAGATTGGATCGTCTTAATAAACGCGGCGGTGGTGTATGCACGTACGTTCGCAAAGAACTTAAATCATCTGTTTTAAAATCCTTAACTTTCATTTCCGAAGAAAATTTCCATCAACTATGGATAAATGTCCAGTGCCAGAAATTTAAGTCGCTCATAATTTGTGTAGCCTACCGACCACCTGACTGTCCTCTGCACTGCTTTGAACATACATTAAAACCAAATTACATGGAAGCTCTTGTATTAAACAAATCAATCGTGATCCTAGGTGATCTAAATTGTGATGGATTAAAGGATAATTGTGTAGAATATAAAATTATGGATAGATTTTTAAATGAAATGAACCTCACTCAACTTATTAAATCGCCAACGAGGATCACTGATGCAACTCAATCATTGCTAGATGTTATCCTAGTGTCGTCGAAGTCAATAGTGTACCGAAGTGGAGTATTGCTTACATCAATCAGTGACCATCTACTTGTGTATGCTGAACTTAAGATTAAGTCTCCTAAGCAACCTTCGCAATACATTACAGCACGTAGCTTTAAAAATTATGTACCGAATTATTTTGCAGCTGATCTTGCGGACAAATCAGATTGTCTCCTATCTATTTTTGACGGCGACGATGTAAATGCTAAACTAAACATTCTTAACTATGCGATCCAGTCTACACTAGACGTTCATGCTCCAATTAAAACAATTAAGATCCGTAACCGACCATGCCCATTTATTACCCAAGACCTCAGAAACCTTATGAAAGAGAGAGATCGATTACATCAACGATTTCTACGTACGCGGGATATTATAGACTGGGTCAATTATAAGAGCTACCGGAATAATGTGAAGAGAGATCTTAAGAAGGCGGAGAATGAGTATAACTCTAATGAAGTACGGCAACATAAAGATAATCCGGGGTCTCTATGGAAAATAGTAAACCGTCTTATACCATCAAAAGGAAAAGAAAGACAAATCTATAAAGGAGACCATAAATCTCTTGCAAATGATTTCAATCAGTTTTTTTCATCGGTTGGTGAAAATGCAGCAAGGGCGTCTTCTCGTCTAGCAGATACTAACAACATCAATCTACGAGAATCAATCGAATCAGTCGTTATAACTGAAATCGACCAATTTAAGTTTAGAGCCGTAACTTGCCACGAAGTACGTCGAGTAGTTTTATCGTTACCTCTCAATAAATCATCTGGTCCGGATAAGATTAACCCACGGATCATAAAGGACTGTCTTCCGGTCATTTTGGGTCCTTTAACGGAAATTATAAATTGTTCCCTTCGTACCTCTACTTTTCCTCTGGCATGGAAAAAGGCAGAACTTATTCCTATTCATAAAGAAGGTGACCACGAGGTACCCTCAAATAATCGACCAGTTTCCCTTCTTGTAGTCGCATCTAAAGTCTGTGAAAGATTAGCTCTTGAGCAATTTAGCTGTTACCTAACAAGCAACAACCGACTATCCTCCCACCAAAGTGGAAATAAAAAACTTCACTCGACAGAGACATTAAACGTTTTTATCACTGACACCATCTTAAAGGTCATGGATAAAAAGAAACTCTCAGCTCTAGTGTTGCTTGATCTCTCAAAAGCATTTGACAGTATAAACCATCAGAGACTACTTCATAAACTATCAAATGTCGGAGCATCCAAATCAACAGTAAACTGGTTCAGAAGCTACTTAACAGACCGTTTCCAATCAACCCGTATTAACTCTACGTTATCAGATCCATTACCGATAACTTATGGTGTACCTCAAGGGGCCATTTTATCGCCATTGCTCTTTTGTATATACCTTAACGACCTACCCTGTGCATCTTACAATGGTGATCTTGAATCATACGTTGATGATACGAAAACTTTGTTATCGTTTCCTTTAACGGAAGCTGACACTGGAATTAAAAATCTGGAAGAAGACCTACATAAAATTGCGTCTTGGTGCTGTGAAAACAATCTTTTGGTGAATCCAGATAAAACAAAATTCATGATCATTGGAACCAGGCAGCTGATGAACGAACTTGATGTCAATATTTCGATCACTTTTATGGGGAAGATTCTAGAACCTGTTGATTTTGCCAAAGATCTAGGACTTCTAATGGACAGTCACCTAAGTTACGATAAGCACATATCGAATCTAGTGTCGTCCTGCCTTTATAAACTGTGCCAGATAAACAGAGTTAAAAATAATTTTGACAAGGGAACACTTACAATGATAATCACTTCATTAGTGATCAGTAAACTGCTCTACTGTTCCGCTGTATGGTCAAATACAACATGCACTAATATAAAGAAACTTCAATCTATTCAAAACTTTGCATGTAAAATAATCACAGGATCCAAGAAATACGATCATGTAAGACCATTACTCCAAAATCTTGAGTGGCTCACAGTTGACAAATTACTCTATTTCCGTGATGCCGTAATGACTTTTAAATGCATGAACAACTTAGCGCCGAAATATCTTTGTGACATGTTTGAGAAACGATCTTGTATTCATAATCGGTCTACGCGGAACTGCAACTCAATACAGATACCATTGTTTAAAACAGCGTCAGGGCAACGGTCATTTGCTTTTAGAGGAGCTTCAATTTGGAATAACTTAGACACTGAGCTAAAGAAATGTACATCACTTAAGACATTCAAAAGTCAACTTAAAGAACACTTACTGTCTACTTAGACTATAGACTACTTCCTATTTTAGACTATTAAAAACTTAGATATCAGTCATTTTTATTCCTAACTTTGTAGAAACTGTAAATATTTTAAAATTGTAGTTTTTATAAAATAATTTTGTAAATGGGTTCTGAAAAACCCTTTTGGGAGAAACCATAAATTTTAATAATAATAATAATAATATGGACTTATACGCACGCGCACAATTCCGAACTCCAATGGTGACATATTCAGTCCAGTTTCAAAATGGCGCCTTTTGGCAGAGTGATCAGAATATATTTCACACAGTTTCGTTGAATTTTCAAAGAGTTGTGCCGGTTTCCTATGGATTTTACGTTGTGTCGCACTCTGAACTTTTCTTGCGTGTTGAATTAATATGTTTTTCTTCGTGTAACGACTCGAAAACCCCAAAATTTGGACCCAGCGAATTTTACAAAGGACAAGTTAAAGGTTCGACAGTTTGACTTTTAAACTAATAAACAACTGTCTATAAATATACGTTGTAGAGTCATAAGCATCCGTGGTGTAGTTGTGTTCATTTTTTGTCGCGCTCTGGACTTTTCTGCATGTTGAATTAATGTTTTTATTTTGTATTATACGACTCTAAAATTTGGCTTTGAAAATTTGGCCGACCCGGCGGATTTATACAATCAATATGTTGCATTAAACGACTCGAAAACCCCAAAATTTGGACCCGACGCGAATTTGTACAATATAGTGGAATATAAGCACGTACAAGTTAAAGATTCTACAGTTTATTTTGATTTATTGTATGGTTCTCATTTGTCTAATACAATAACATTTAGTTCACAAGGGCAAGTTAAAGGTTTGACCATATTAAAATACATGTATTGAAATTCGCGCAATAGCTACTAGAATTCGCGCAAGTAAAGATGCGAGCGTTCAAAATACCAAAAAGAACTAAGACATTTATTGTATGGTTCTCATTTGCCTATTAGTATACATTTAGTTCACAATATAATATAAACACAATATAAACAAGGAAAAGTTAAAGGTTTGACAGTTTCACTACACAATGTCGACAATATACCTTAATACATGTATTACAATTCGCGCAGTAGCTACTAGTTGGTGCGCCAAACGCTTTGTGGTAGCTATACTAAAGATAAAGCGTGCCTTCAAAATACCTACAAGAACTAAGACATTTATTGTATGGTTCTCATTTGCCTAATACAATAACATCACAGAGTAGATAAGACATACAGAGACGTAACTGACCGTTGTAAACACTGCGGAAGATTACGTTTTCATGTACCCACTTTTTTTCAGGCGACCGGGCGAAAAATGATCAACTGCGCGTGCTCAGCAAGTTTAAAGTGAGTCGTCATCAGGTCGTCATCCAATCAGATGCATGCATCTAGTAACTTGCCGAGCATGCGCACAAAAAAAGTGGGTACACTAGTTACGTCTCTGTATGTCTCTACTCTGTGATAACATTTAGTTCGACGCGAATTTTAACTAGTATCATATTTCATAATATAATGAACAATGTAAACTAGCCAATTCTTTTCACCTACAAAATGTCGACAATATACCTTAATATACATGTATTAAAATTCGCGCAGTAGCTACTAGAGTTCGAGCAAGTAGTAGGCCTAAAGATAAAGCTTGCATTCAAAATACCAAGATATAAACAAGGAATAGTCGTTCGATTTGGCTATACTGTTTGCTCGTTTTGAATGTATATATATTGATCGATTCCAATAATCGATTTACATATCAGTCTGCTCGATTCGAGTAAGTGTTGCCCGATTTGTATCATTGGTGATTTGGTGTTCGACTTATAACTATTGGACCTATTGAATTTTGACAGTAAAAACGCGCCATATATAATACATGTATTAAAATTTGCGCAGTAGCTACTAGAATTGGCGCAAGTAAAGATAAAGCGTGCGTTAAAAATACCACTGGCAATGAACAAGGACTAAGACATTTGTTACGAAATCTGCTACAAAATGTCGACAATATAGCACACAGTGTTGGATTTTTCTCATGTGCCTAATGTAGCATAACACATGAGTATTAAAATTCATGCGGTAGCTACTAGAATATTCGCGCAGCGCTGGGTGCGCAAAATTGCAAAAAGCCGTTTGTAGTAGCTATAGTAAATACAAAATTTATGCTACAAGGGTCAAGGTAATAAATGGGAAATGAACTAGCTATTTTAAAACTGTAATGTATGATGATTCTTTTGAGATAACAATGAGAAGATGAAGCGAACAAAGAAGAAAAATTCCAGTCGGCGGCCAAAAAGGCCGTTTGCCGTGAAGTTTAAATTGCCCTGTTAGTACATTTAAAATGCACGTAGTAGCCTATAATATATTACCTCGCCCTCGACGTTTTGCCCTCGCCTTCGACGTTTTACCCTCGCCCTCGACATTTAACCCTCGACACTCGACCAATAGATATACTCCACACGACATATAGGGACACTCAAGGTTGCACTAATTGCATGGTATAGGGTTGAAAAGTTGCTAATAATAAAGTGGTGATTTCTGCCTTCTGCTTTTTGTTGTCAAATTATTGATTTTCTTTGGATAAATCTACCGCTGAAACTGTTCTATACGAACTCTCTTGCTCTCCATTCCCTTGTCTATTACACCGTAGCCCATCTCGTTCTCCGAGCCTGCGATCCTCGGGAAGGAAACGAAGGCTCTGGGATAATCCGTTGCCGAAAGGCAGGAATTCTGGCTAAGATTGAACTACACATTCCATATCAACGGCCAACAGATTCCTCCCTGAAACGGATTATCCCAGAGCCTTCGCTTCCTTCTCAAGGACCGCAGGCTCAGGGAACGAGATTGCACAATAGAGCGCATGTAATCATTTTCAGGTCAGTGTGAACGCCTGAGTAGGCGTCTTGTTATGTCTAAAGCCACTCGCGCTGCGTGCTCGTGTCTTTAAACATAATAAAACACTCCTGCTCGTTTATTAAACAGTACATAGCCCCAATTCCAGCACTGACTTTAGAACATATCGAATCGATGTGTGCATCCCAAGTTAACTTTTCGTCAATGTCCATCCCTAAACATGTATATTTAATTTGCTGGTTCGAGGGACTAGGGTATTATTCATCAATATTGGCGTATTTCCAATTTTATTGATGAGGTTATAAGATGAAGCAATAAACATGACTTTTGTTTGGGTGGGATGATGTTGAAGCTTATTTTTTAAATGCTTTTTTAAATGCTTTTGTCTTTTGATAAATCTAGAAAAATTCCCATTACAAACTCATCTTTACGATCAAAGGCAGAGGTGACATTCTCAACTATACGTGCAACATAGCTAAACGAGTAGAATGATGTTTTCTGAATCCATATTTATGCAAGTATAATATATTCTTTTTATCAATAAAATCAGCAATTCTATTATAAACTATTCGCTCAAAAAATTTAGAAAAACTCGATAAAATTGATATAGGTCTGTAATTTGAAAACATAGCAGGATTAAATAATTATCTTTCTTAAAAATTGGTATGACCTTAGCAACTTTTATGTTGTCGGGGAATATGCCAGTAGTGATTGAAAGGTTAATTATATAAGCAAAAGGTTCAAAAATCATATCAATATGCTGCTTTACTGTTGTCATATTGATTCCGTCAAAACCAGGGGACTTAAATGTTTTAGATATGTTATATAATCTCTTCTTTAGTCGCAGGGTTTAAAAATATTGATTCACAAATATTGTCCTGAAGGTAAGACGTCGGAGATATACCTGGGTCAAAAATTCGTTCGGCTAGATTTCTACCAATGTTAGTAAAATAACTACAGAATCTATTTGAAACCTCTGCAGGATCAGAGATGAGATAACATTATTATTATAAGTAATACCATGGTTTTTAAGAATATAGTGATTAAATCTCCCGCAAACCGAGGGAGGTTTGTGAAAGTCCAGAGGGAAAGCCTGAGGGCGAAGCCCGAAGGCGTCCCGAGGGACTTTCACAAACCTCCTCGGTTCTCGGGAGATTTAATCACTATATTTTTAAAAACCATGGTATTATAGTTTGTAATACCATGATTACCGAGGTGAGGCTAGTGTTTTCATTGTACAAAATTAATTGATAGTACGAGTATTGTGTAATACAATGCATGATCAGTGATGTATACAACAATTTTCCATTGTCGGAAATTTGTTTGCGAATAAACAATTCTTAATATACGTGTGTCAGTGCCGGGTGCATGTGCATGTATGCATATAAAATGAGTTACTTTTTAACTCAACTCTTGTTTTTGGACGCTCACTAAGAATGATATGGCGAATAAACGTTTCTGGTTTGTTATGGAAGGCGATGTTCAGAAAGTTAGAGATAACAGAACGCCTGAGAATACTATCAAACACACTAGGTGGAGCACGAATCTTTATAAAGCATGGGCAAAGGCAAGAAATACCGAGTTGCGTGATTTTGAAGCCGAGAGTGGAGTATTCAAGCGTGTGCCAGATTTGCAGGAGATGAGAGTTGACGAAATTAATTACTGGTTTAGCCGATTAACGCTAGAAGTACGGAAGAAAAACGGTAAGGAATACCGCCATGAAGTCGTGTATAGTCTGTTTGTGGTTTAAACCGAACAGTTCATGATCAGTTGCAATATCCAAAGTTAAACCTGTTTAATTCGGCTGAGTTTAAGCCGCTTCAGCAAACGCTCGATGGGAAGCTGAAAGAACTACAGAGCACCCAAAGCCCAATGAAGAAGAGAGCAGATGCAGTGACGGTTAGCGATGAAAGGGTATAGTTTTGAGCGGACTACTACAAGGAGCTAATTGTGGAACTGTGAACATCAACATTAATATGAGTAAATAAATTACTGTCTTTATAATATAGTTGTGTGAAATGTTTAGTGAAAAGTGAATATTAATAAGTCGAGTGATTAACACTTTATCTTACTGTAATTAACATTGTAGTGTAATTATTTTGTTTGTGGTTAAAAGCTATTAAAGTGCCTATGCAACGAATTTTTCACCTCATTTTTTATTGTTTTTCTAAAA